GGCTAATGTAGTGTCTGCCAGGTTATCTATTGGAAAGTTACTATTTTTTTAAGTTACTATTCTAAACTTGTAATTAATAGGTATCATTTAGGTAGATATTTTGATATTATAAAAACCTATCATTTCCTTTACTAAAATTTCAACTCACTATATTTGAAATCCATTGGTGATTCTTATATGAGAAAATTATTGCAAATGCTGTTGCCAAATTGTGCTATTTATAATTCCATTATTTTAGATTTATTACTTGTATTCTCTTATTAGAAGAAAATTACTCTTTCCCCCTCTCATTAGTTTTTTATTTATTCGTTTATGTCATTATGGACTCATAGATTCTTATTCTCTGAGTTATAATCTTTTACATTATTATTGGTTTTGAAGCTTTAGTTGTGCTTATTGCCTACTAGGATTCTAAATGATCTCAGACAAGCTTACTGGGAAATATATGTAAAAGAAACACAAGAAACAGAAACTGGAAACAAAGAAGCTAAAGGAATGATTGCCCAGAGCAAGTGTGTCACGAGTGGGACAGGAAGAATGGGAGATAGAAACAGCATAGATATTGATATATGACCTGTAACTTGCAATCTATTTATACATTTTAAAGCCCATGATTTCTAACTGATATCTCCAATTCTAGTTTGACACCATAGAGTTCTTTCCAGCCTCTCCTTATCCATGTACATAGCTCCCTAGAGAGAGAGGGACCCCCTTCTCCTCAATGTTTACTTATTTGCTGAGTCTCTGGATACATGATGAGTTTTTTTAAATCTTGACTCACACCACTGTCAATGACACACTAAGTACAGCTTAAAACTTTGTTGTAAGGTTTGTTTTTTTATTGTGAGAGTATATAGTCATAATTCTGAGTTCAATAATTACTTAGGGTACTTATTTTATTTTCTTCTTTGGTGTAATTACAGTGTATAATAGGATTACAATTAGGTTCACTTATATTGTTTTATTCTATTTTGCTTTATTCACCACCTCTTCTATTTATTTTTAGTGGAAAAAGACAACATAGTCAAAAGGACACAAATAATTCTAACCCCTCCCCTCTGACAGCTGTCAGTCTACTCTAGATTGCAATGTTATTTATTGACATCCTATCTAATAATAGACAAACATGGTAATTAATCGTACCTCCGACACGCTTCCCATTGGCTAATCAGGGCTATATGCAAATTAACTGCCAACAAAGATGGCAGCCGGCAGCCAGGAAGCTGAAGCGAACAGGAGGCCTGGTTGCCCCAGCGATGGAGGAAGCCAAGGTTCCCCGCCTGCCGCTGCCAGCCTCTGAACTGCACTCTAAGAAATAATGTTGCAATTATAGAAGCTAAACAAATGCAGAAACCTGCTTTCAGCCAGCTGGGCCTCAGAGCTGGAGCTGCAACAGTGTTTCAATTATAGAAGCCAAACAAACCCAGATATCTGCTTTCAGCAGCTGAGGTCTCGGAGCTGGAGCCGAGCCTCAGAGCTAAAGCCAGCTCTCAGTTCCAGTGACAGCCATAGAAGATAAATAAATCCCAGAAGAAAAAAAGAAGAAAAAAAGGAGAGGTTGGGAGCTTCAGTCACCCGCCAGCCTGAAAACGGCCCTCAGCCCCTCACTCAGACCGGCCAGGCACCCAAGCGGGACCCCCCACCTGGATCCGGGACACCCTTCAGGGCAAACCAGCCGGCCCCCACCCGTGCACCAGGCCTCTATCCTATATAGTAAAAGGGTAATATGCAAACTGACCCTAACAGCAGAAATACTGGGAATTACTGGTCACTATGACGCACACTGACCACCAGGGGGCAGACGCTCAATGCAGGAGCTGCCTTCTGGTGGTCAGGGCGCTCTCACATGGGAGGAGCTCTGCTCAGCCACAAGCCAGGCTGATGGCTGCCAGTACAGCGGTGGTGGTGGGAGCCTCTCTTGCCTCCTCAGCAGCGCTAAGGATGTCCGACTGCAGTTTAGGCCTGCTCCCTGCTGGCAAGTGGACATCCCCCGAGGGCTGCCTGGCTGCTAGAGGGATGTTTGATTGCCATCTTAGGCCCAATCTCCCGGGGAGCGGGCCTAAGCCAGCAGGTGGTCATCCCCTGAGGCGTCCCAGACTGAAAGAGTGCACAGGTCGGGCTGAGGGACCCCCCCTTCCCCCGAGTGCACAAATGTTTGTGCACCGGGCCTCTAGTCATACTAATAAAAGGCCAAGAGGTGTCACGAGCAAAACGACCAAACAACTGGTCACCATGAGGTGCATGGAGCACCTCTGGGGCCCAGCGCCCCGCGGGGTGCCTCATCGTGCAGCTGGAAACAGGAGGCGGGAGGTGGGGCACCTTCTCGCAGTGGTAGGAGGCGGGAGGCAGGGCGTCCCCTTACCGCTGCAGGAGGTGGGAGGTGGGGCACCTCCTTGCGTGATTTCAATTGCTTGCTGGGCCTCTAGTTGTTTAATAAAACCATACAGATGTCAAGTGTACAGCTAAATAAAACAATGCCTGCATACTGCATTGTGCACTTACCACCCAAACTCATATCTCTTTCCCTGTCCTTTGATCCTCCCTTTGTTCACTTCCACCTCCTCCCAAAAACCCCTTTTCCTCTGGCACTCACCATACATCTTTTCATGTCTAGATGTGATATATATTTTTTCTTGCTTTATTCCTTCACCATTTTTTCGCCCAGCCCTCCTTAACACCTCCCCTCTGACAGCTGTCAGTTTACTCTATGTATCTATGCTTCTGTTTCAATTTTTTTTCATTATTTTGACAATTAGATTACACATATAAGTGAGATTCTATGGTATTTGTCTTTCTCTGACTAGCATTTTTCGTTTAGCATAATAATTTCCAGGTCCATCCATGCTGTCTCAAAAGCAAGTTTTTCCTTTTTTTTTTGGCCAAGTAGTATTCCACTGTATAAATGTCCCTTAGGTTTTTTTCATTCCTAATCTACTGGTGGGCACGTGGGCTGTTTCCAGATGTTAACTACTTCCTGTGTTTCATTATGTTTAAATGGACATATATATGAATATTTTACTTCCCTTCATTTTTACATGACATGTAGCATGGTATAAATGCTCTTTTACACATTGCTTTTTATTTATTTATTTTAAAATATATTTCTTTATTGATTTCAGAGAGGAAGGGAGAAGGAGAGAGAGATAGAAACATCAATGATGAGAATCATTGATTGGCTGCTTCCTGCACACCCCTACTGGAGATTGAGCCCGCAACCCAAGCATATGCCCTTGGCCGGAAGCAAACCTGGGACCCTTCAGTCCACAGGCTGACACTCTTTCCACTGAGCCAAGCCAGCTAGGGCACATTGCTTTTTAAAATTTAACAATATATCCTATTTATCCATATTGATTCATAAATATCCCTGTTCTTATATTTTTCCCAGTAGCAAAATACTAAATTTCATTGATACTCCATAGAGTTTTCTTTACTGGTCCTAGTATGAGATATTGGTGTTGAGTGTCCTAAATGCCACCCAATTGTATACCTCCAATGGCTAACATGATACATTTTGTCTTGTATATTAAACTATAATTAAAAATTAAAGAGTAAGTAAGAGGTAATCTCTATATATAGCATATAAAAGAATTACAATAACAACAAAAACATAATAATAAATGATTAATATGTAAATAAGGAGGAATGGAATAAAAATATATATTTGATTAATCAAAAGGGAGGAAGATAAGAGACAATAACTGTAAAGCAGGTATATCAAATAAAATCAGTAATATGCAAAATATAAATTTAGATATATTATGATTATATTAGACTAGAGGCCCAGTGCACAAAATTCTTGCACGAGGGGGCTGGTCCCTCAGCATAGCCTGCGCCCTCTCGCAGTCCAGGACCCATTGGGGGATGACAGCCGTTGGCTTAGGCCCGATCCCTTTGCTTCACTCGCCAGCCGTGAGTCTGGCTTCTGGCTGAGCAGCACTTGCCATGTGGGAGTGCACTGAACACCTGGGGGCAGCTTCTGCATTGAGTGTCAGGCCCCTGGTGGCCAGTGCCCATCATTGCAACTAGTCATTCAGCCGGTTGTTCCACTCTTTGGCTTTTGCATATTAGGGTTTTATTATATAGGATATCAATAGATAAAATTCTACACAAATATAATAATCATTGCCTTACATAAAAAGAGCAAATCCAACTTTACACGGTTAGTGATGGACACCTCACAGATATAAAGATGTAGCAAACTTTAAAGTGTTAGAAATAATACCATGTAAACACTAACCATGAGTAAGGGGCATCTTTACTACCAATGCTATATTAGTATTTATATCTCTATCTGTATTTTTATCTGTACCTGTATATGTGTGTGTGTATATATATATATATGGATAGATATACATATACATATACATATACATATATATATATGGATAGATAGATATAGATATAGATAGATAGATAGATAGATTTAGTTATAATATATATGTACTAATATCAGAAGTAGAGGAGGTGTTAAGGTAGGACCCATTGCTAGATGTGTGCTATTAACTTCATTTTAAAAATGCATTTATAAAGTCTTGCTTTGTAGCACATGCTAATTTTCATGGTAGAATTATTCTCATGACTGACTAAAGTCTACCAACATCATATTATTGAATGTGAGTTGGAAAAGATGTGCACAATCAGCTTGAAGCCAATGGGAGATAACACACAATAATCAGTTTTTTTAAAAAAGTTCATCAGGAATGGATCATGATGGTAAATCAGTGAGGCTTCAATAACATAGTCTAAAAATAAAAACTCACAATTATAATTGTGTAACATATTTTGCAAAAAATTTTGCATAGGTCTTATAAGAGATTATGAACAAGGGAATAAAGAATTATTAACAACCCAAGTAGCAAATTTGACCAAGTTGGATATTAACAGCACTTGTACAAAACAAGAGAATGCATATTCTAAGATTATATGAAGATGTCGACCGTACAATAATTATAGAAGATCTGTCTCACTGGGCTCCTGACTGCAACAAGAGGATTTAGTGATTACCAGTTAAAGAACTTAACCCTATTGACACACATCTCTAAGGCCTGTTTGATATCTCTGTTCCTCAGGCTGTAGATGAAGGGGTTCAGCATGGGGGTAACTACTGTATACATGACTGAAGCAATTATGTCTTTAGAACCCCATGATGAGGAGGAAAAATAAACACTTGCAGCTGTCCCATAGTATAAAAACACCACAGAGAGATGGGAGCCACAGGTAGAAAAGGCTTTATAGAGTCTCTTAGTGGAGGGCACCCTCAGGATGATGGTCCCTATACGGATATAAGAGCTCAAAGTTATACCAAAAGGCAGGAAGAAAATCATTCCTCCCTCAGTCAAGATGACCAGCTCATTGAGGGAGATGTCTGAGCAGCTCAGCTTCAGGAGAGCAGCCAAATCACACAAGAAGTGGGAGATGATATTATTGGCACCAAAGGACAGTCGGACCAATAAGAGAGTGTGCAACAAATCATGGAGACAGGAGAGAATCCAGGAGCCAACCACCAGCAGCACACACAGCCCCTCCCTCATAATGGTGGTGTAGTGTAGAGGCTAACAGATGGCCACGTACCTGTCATATGCCATCACAGCCAGGAGATAATTGTCAAGACCAACAAAAAGTATGTAAAAATACAACTGAGAAATGCACCCCATATAGGAGATGGATTGTTGCAGAGTCTGCATGTTCATGAGCATCTTTGGGACAATAACAGAGGAAAGAGAAATGTCAGAGAAGGCCAAGTGGCTGAGGAAGAAGTACATGGGCGTGTGAAGGCGTGAATCCAGCCTGATGAGCAGGATGATGAGCAGGTTGCCCAGCACCGTGGTCACATACACGCCCAGGAACAGGGTGAAGAACACGCCCTGCTGCCCTGGCGGGATGGGGAGCCCCAGGAGGAGGAACTGGGACACGCTGCTTTGGTTCTCAGGCCTCATGTTGCTCTTCTTTCTGCTGGGGATGAGGAAGGGTTGGGAATCTCACGAACCTAAGAAGGGTAACCAGAATCAGCACAGCTCATGATGTCATTCTCTGGGAAAACCATTCATTTTTAAATACTTTCGTATTTATTTCTCACACCTGTGGATGTATGCATCTTTCCTCTCTCCTAGTCTGGCTCCAGGAAAACACTGAACCCCAAAGTGGTCAACAAGACCTCGTCACACAGTAGCAAGAAGGAGTTCTTTGTTTTATTCAACCATTACATTTAACATCAAGTCTGTGTTGAGACCTCTTCTAAGGACTGAGATAATTTCTGTACCAGGCCAGAGCCAAATCCTAAAAATTCACTGTGGAAAAAAACAGAAGATGAGCCCCAGAAACTCGTATCAGTTGTTAGTGCCTTAAAATAACGTGAGACTACAGGACTGAGTTGGGCTTCTTGGAGCATTTTCACACTCCTCCTGTGAATCTGCTGGGGTCTTTGACCCACAGCTGTAAACTCAGGGAGACTCTCAAATGTGTGGCCATTTAAAACCACTTGCTACCAGAACAGCTCCAAAAGCAAAATAGTGCCCAAACTATCTTTCATAATATGGTTGAACATTTAGTACAACATTTGCATATTGGCCTAAGGACCTACCTACATTTCCTAATTAAATCCACACGTCAAACTTACATTCCCAGATTTTAATACCTTACCACAGCTACACTAATAATTTGTGTTCTCTCACATTTTTCACTTTTTAAGAAATAGAAACATAAATGATACACATTCTCCAGGCACACTGCAATGCAGTAGGGAATAGAAGAACACACACACGTGTGTATTTCTGTATGTATAATGTATGTAATATGTAATGTATAAAACTTGATATATGTATTATCATTTTTGACATAATAAAAATCACTGAGTATTAGCTACTTCATGGGGTTCTATCTAGTGTACATTTGTGATCAGAATCCACATGCTCTTAACTATTACACAGGGAAACATCCTCTTTCTTACTTAGAGGAGGCCAGCTGTGAGGACTCAAAGTTGTCCAAAATTCTGAACCATCTTACTAGATAATTTCATTCATATATATATATATATATATATCTTCCAATTGACAATAAAGTCTCAAATATATTAACTGTATTTTGCACAGTGACTGTTTACTGAGAGCCTCTGTAAGTTTCCCAATAGAAATGTAATTCTTTTTATTTATAGATGGGGAAACTAAGAACAAAATTTAAGTAACTTTCCCAAGGTCTCACCACTATTCGATGGTGAATCAGCCCAATAACCTCACACAGCCTGCGGGTTATTTTCCTGGGATGTTTAATAAAACTAAAGAGGTGGAAAGGGAAATTTTAAAAAATGACCAAAAAACCTAGAGAAAAGCATTTAAAAAAGAAAAGAAAATGTAAAGAAGAAGTTGCAAAATCTGAGGGGCTCTCACACTCGGGTACATGGAAAGGAGAGCAGATTTGTTTCAAGAAACTGGGAATTGATTAGCATGTGGTTTTTCTCAGCTAATGGTGCCAGAGGGGGGACAGGTAAGGACATACTTGAGTTCTGACACCCATAAACACACACACACACACACACACACACACACACACACACACACACACTGCTGAGCTGAGGATTCCAGTCACCTGTGACCACATTGCCATCATCAGGGAAGAATAGTCAATATGTGGTTCAGCTCAAAAACACTTGTCTACATAAATAGAAATCATAAGTAACACACTAAGTGAGACATGCACAACACACAATGATGTACCACTCACCCACAAAAATACTAACACACCTGACTTATGGACTTAGCTGGTAACACCCAACTCACCACATATACATAACTCAAGTGCTGTACGCACATCACCAAAAGCACACAAGACCACTATTAGAACATCTTACATGAGCCTAGCTTGTGTTTCTCAGTGGATGAGTGTCAACCTATAAACTAGGAGGTGATGGTTCAATTCTGATCAGGGTACATGCCTGGTCTGTGGGTTCAATCCCTAGTGGGGTGTGTGTAGGAGGCAGCTGATCAAAGATTCTGTCTCATCAAACATAGAGAAATATGTTTCTATGTCTCTCTCCCTTCTTCTCTGAAATCAATAAAAAATATTTTTATAAAAAGACACAAGAAACACATACTACAGCACATATGCACACCCAGCCACGCACACACTGTAAGTAGCACACACCCTCCTATTACTGAGAGGTAGGCCTCCACGTTTCTGACCATTTCCTTCCAGGGACGGGTGTCTACTTGGTGCAGTTAAGCCTGTTCAGTCACAGGCAGTCATTAACCAGCAACAACACCCAATCACCTGGCCACATACACATGGTCACATACACAAGAGAAAATCAAACAACACCCCTTCCAGCTCTCACACACGAGTGCGTCACCCACAGCACAGCTCCCATGTGCACCAGTACATGCTGCTAAGCAGAGGCGTGAGCCCTCTCTGACCTGACCTTGGTTCCTGGTGCGGTCGGGCATCTTCTTGTCCAGCAGCAGAGACAATAGTCTCACTCCCGATGCTCAGCTGTGATGCCAGTGTTTATGATGACAGGCATGAATCAGAATCCCTCACCACACACCAAGAAGTGATCATTTGTTCTACATGCATAAAAACAGGACTTTGAGTCAGATACATAGCTCACACAGACATACACACTTACACATGCAGCTATTAAATATCAGTTACACAAGCATATAAAATACATGCAGACACACACACAAATTCATGGACTCAGAGCCTCAGACATGAACCCACTAGCAAACAGGCAGATCCATCACCAAGTGCAGATTTCCAGCTCCTCTCACCTGGGCTCCTCATTGGTGAGTTCAGACACCTTCTGCTCCAGACTGTTGCCTATCTCCTCAGGTTTTCTACAGGAGACCTAATATGTAGACACACAGAAGAAATATCTGGAGACTTGACACTTCTACACACTTTCCTTTCCCTTAACCAGCTCCAGAGAAATGAGTCCAATGATAACACTTAATTATTAATGAGAGACTGCAACAAAGTCCAAGTCCACAAGTTTCTGGCTAATTTCTGACTGCCCATTGGGGAGCCGTGTGTCCAAGAGCCTGAGGGACGCGAGTCCTAGGGGACAGTGTCCCTGATTCCAGTCATGCCCTGGACACCTTTCTTCTTGGGCATTATTCCAGCTGGTACAAAAGATTTTTCAACTTAACATTTTAAATCATTTTAAACATAGAGAAAAATTGTAAAATGTCATATAGGATTGGAAAAAGTAGGTTTCCAGTTGTGAGTACACAAAGCACAGAGTTTATTCACATATTATTATTTATTATTATTGTATTACTTTTCATGGTAACATACATATAGAGAAAACCAAACACACTGTCCATCTCTCTAAACATACTTTTGCCCTAACCTATAATTGGCTAATGTTTTGTCTTCCAGATTATCTACTGGATAGTTACTATTTTTTATTTTATTTTTTTTGTTTTGTTTTTAATTTTTTTATTGATTAAGTTATTACATATGTGTCTTTATCCCTGCATTACCCCCCATCCCCCCCACTCATGCCCTCACCCCCTTCTTGTCTGTGTCCATTGGTTAGGCCTATATGCTAGCATATAAGTCCTTTGTTTGATCTCTCCCCCTTACCCCCACCCTCCCCTACCTTCCCTCTGAGATTTGACGGTCTGATTGATGCTTCTCTGTCTCTGGATCTGTATTTGTTTGTTTTTTCATCAGTTTATGTTGTTCATTATATTCCACAAATGAGTGAGATCATGTGATATTTATCTTTCTCTGACTGTCTTATTTCACTTAGCATAATGCTCTCCAGTTTCATCCATGCTGTTGCAAATGGTAAGAATTCCTTCTTTTTTACCGCAGCGTAGTATTCCATTGTGTAGATGTACCACATTTTTTAATCCACTCATCTATTGATGGGCACTTAGGCTGTTTTCAAATCTTAGCTATGGTGAATTGTGCTGCTATGAACATAGGGGTGCATATATCCTTTCTAATTGGTGTTTCTAGTTTCTTGGGATATATTCCTAGAAGTGGGATCACTGGATCAAATGGGAGTTCCATTTTTAATTTTTTGAGGAACCTCCATACTGTTCTCCACAGTGGCTACACCAGTCTGCATTCCCACCAGCAGTTCAGGAGGGTTCCTTTTTCTCCAAATCCTCACCAGCACTTGTCATTTGTTGATTTGTTGATGATAGCCATTCTGACAGGTATGAGATGGTACCACATTGTTGTTTTGATTTGCATCTCTCAGATGATTAGTGACTTTGAACATGTTTTGTCCTTTCTTCTGTCTTCTTTCGAAAAGTATTTATGTCCATTGCCCATGTTTTGATTCGGTTGTTTATCTTCCTTTTGTTAAGTTGTATGAGTAGTTATAATTTTTTAAAGTTCCTATTCTTACCTTGTAATTAATAGATATCATTTGGGTAGATATTTTGACACTATACAAACATAACATTTCCTTTACTAAAATTTCAACTCACTATATTGGACATTCATTGGTGATTATTAATGTAGAAAATTATTGCAAATGTTGTTGCCAAATTGTGATATTACAATTTCACTAGAGGCCCAGTGAATGAAATGCGTGCACTGGTGGGGTACCGCGGCCGTCAGCTGCCGGCCTAGTACTCCCTCCTTTTCCCCAGCTGCTTGCTACCACTACCACTGCCACCAGCCGCGGCCTCCCTCCCTTCTCCTGGTGGCCTGCTGCTGCTGGGGCCTCCCTCCCTTCCCCATTGCTTGCTGCTGCCACCGCTGCCCAGGGCTTCCTTCCCTTCCCCCGGCTGGCCCTGCCCCCTCGTCGAACTCCTGGACAAACACTTGGTCAAGGGGAAAATTTGCATATTGCGTTGTTATTGTATAGGATTATTTCTTCTAGATTTATTATTTGTACTCTCTTATAAGAAGAAAATTACTCTTTTTCCACACTCATTAGTTTTTTATTTATTCATTTACTAGAGGCCTGGTGCACAAAAAT